ACTCCAGAGTGTTGTTCAGCATGGGGGTGAGTAGAAAATGAAGGCTAATCATGTTTTGGGTGTACTTTTCCTTTAATGAGCAAATAAGCAAGTGAACTCTGTGGTGAAAACACAAGCAAATATGATTTAATAAGCATATTTAAAAAGACCAAATAATATTTCCAGACTAGACCCCAAAAAATTATTTATCCATTTTATTTTCCCTTTACCAAGATGTCCATTAATATAAAACATCTTTTTTAACATCAAAAGTCAAAAGTCAAAAAGCCTTTATTGTCATTATATTCTGTGACAGATATAGTCTTGGACTGTTTTTTTTTTTATTTTCTAGTAATATATACATATGTATACATTGTAGTTCTTTATTTGTGCTTTATAACAGAGAAATTGGATAAGATTGCCTTTCTAAGAATCGAAATACTGTCCGTTAGGGAAAAACCGTGGAGCATAAAAAGATGGCATCAAGCTTTTCATTTAAACTTTGCTGACAGAGCAGAGATAGTAGATGGATGTCCCTGCTCAGCCAATAGGAGCAACTTTAATTAGAATCCTCATATTACCATTGAGGGGAAGTAGTTTGCATGCAAAAAATGCTAGCTTTAAAGTTATGCACCAAGTCATCTCTTGATATAAAAGGCTTGCTGGTTGTGGCTTTATCTATATGTGAACAAAAGAGTGAAAAAGAATATGAGCAGGGGGAGGATGAAGGACATCTTTCTTCACTGCAAGGAAACTTGCTACATAACCCACACTCTGGCAAACACTTCAACAGCAAGTCAGTGGTCTGTAAAATTAAAACATCCTTTTCCTTCAGCAAACCCTGTTGTTTTGCTTATATGTCGCTAGCTTACATAACGGTAATAACAGCAGTCATAATGGCCTCTAATTCAAAAATGCATTTCAGCAGGGGAGTGATGGCGTTTACAGGTAGTCATAGTGAAAGCAGAAGCTCCAGTGGAGGTAAATGGACTCCAGTGGTGAGAACCAGCTCCTGGAAAACTAGAAACACGCTGAACCAGAAATCAGAGGGAACTTGATTCACAAAGGAAATGAAAAGTGTATTCCACACGTTTGTGTGAACGTCACTGCTGCCTTCAGTCTGCAGTAACTGCAGGCGAGAAAAAACCGAGGGACAAACAAGTCAAGCTGCAGGTGTAAATTATGTACATTACGGCGATGCCATTGACAGCAGCTCTATTGAAGTCAGCCAGCTGCAACAAATAAAAGGTAGATGGAGGTCACACAAAGCTCCTTACTCCTACTGTTTGCTGCATGCTGGAGAAAAAAATCCAATAACATGAGCATGGGATGGACAAAGACCGCTTTAATTTAATTATCTTTAAGTAAAAAACAGAAATATATACAATTTCAGTCTATTTACATTACATACAGTTCATCTCACCTGACTATGTCCATTGCCTGATAGATGATCTCTGATTGGTCCACTGCAATCACCTTTTTGGCCCCAGCTCTGGCAGCAAACATGGACAGTATGCCGGTCCCACAGCCAACATCCAACACCACCTGCAAAACAAGAAGAGGCAATAATACAGACGCAAAATTTGTACTGAATTCTATGAACCACACATATATTTCTATCAGTGTCTGACAGATAAGATATCTAGTCTAGGGCTGCAACTGACTAATCTGTCGATGTTTTTTTATTTTAATAATCAGATAGGAAAAGGTTAACTAAAGAAGACTATTTACGAAATGAAAATCAGGTAAAATTAAAACTTTTGACAGAATAAGGCAGCTTTTTCTGTTTTATTTCTTTGACAGAAAAAAAATATCTTAAATGCGAAAGTTTATTTATTTCTTTTACAATTTTGGTATAATTGCTCCTCATTGTGGGTTTCTCTGTCAGCTAAAGTTACGTTTTAGATTCTCTCCACTCCAGTTAACTAGTAATCGATTACTATATTAGTTAAAGATAATTTCAATAATCAACACTTCACGCCTTTTTCAATGATTTCAACTTAAAGCTACAGTGTGTAATTTTCAGCGACATCTAACGTCCAGACTGCAGACCGCAGCAACATGAACATCTCCCCCCCACCGCTTCTCCCCCCCAACAGTACGGCGAGCGTTACGGGACAAAATGTCTTCCACGACGTCCGCATCACCTACCTTCTCAAGTGATGAGGTTTGTTTACATAGATAATTTTACAGATAGTATTTCATTAGTCTGTGTAGGGTATAGATTTCATGTAGACTTAAACAACTTGCCGTAGTTACTTTCGAGCGTAATGGGCGATCTTGCAATCGCTAGTTTGTTGGCTCTGCGCTGCCGTAGCGCAAAGATGTCTGCCTCCATGGCTGCGATACCCGCTCCTATGTAATTATAAATAACGAATTCTAAGGCAACGCAAATATTAAGGTTAAGAGGCTGAGCTCGTAGATGATGATAAATAACATAGTTATGTATAATATATTACATTTCTGACTGTATATCCCTGTAATTATTACACACAGTAGCTTTAATATGATCAGATAAAAGAAAATGCTTACAACATTTAAAATATTAAAGCCTTTTTATCCACAAACGTATTTATAATAAAAGGCACAATGAAATACATCCTGAATATTTTCTTCAGTGAACATTTCTTTTTAACTGAAGATCCGGCTAAAGCTACCTGCCTGGAGATTACAGGAAGGAACCAAACCAATTCAGAACTTAATCTGTGTGATGTTTTCTTCATTGAGATTAAATTGAATGTGATTATGTATTGTATATTTTACAACTGGAGGACATTAGAATAGTGAAAAGCAAAATAAAATACTGACTAAAAATATGTCTTTTTAGGACATTTCTTAAATCAAATCAATCATTCCTAAATTATTTTAACTGCTTTCAAAAAGCGGACACGCGACCCATTTGTAACTTTGCTATTTTTCTCTTTTCCAGGTAACTTTGCAAGCATGTTTTGTTATCTTAATAATCTGAAATGGAAAACTGACCATAAAAGTATTAAAAAAGCTGTTAGTAAAACTGGTTAATAGGGAATACAGAAAAAAATCCACTTGATATGAGTTTTTCTTCAAATCAAATCTGAAATTCATGAACAAAAGCCATAATTTTGTATGGCTTTGTCTGGGAATTACCATCTTTAATCTACAAGCTGCAAAAGTAAGGTGCAAAATTGACATTTTTAAACATACAACAATTTCAAGAGACTAAAATTCAACATAACGTAATGTCAAGGCTGCCTGTTTTATTTTATATTTGCTATATTATAACAAAGAAAAATAAAACACTGATATCTAAATTAAATTGAACAAAAATCCCAAAAAAACTCTCTCTTAAATGGTTTATCAAACACCAAATATGGAGAAAGCTTTTGGTTTTGTATCTATTCAGAGTTGGAAGAGCAATGAATTGTTTTGTTAGCATTTCTAAGGGGTGCTGCAGAGACAGGGATGGAGTAACAACTCCTCCATTTAAATGTAGCTCTGTGTTCGGTTGCCTCTCTATTTAGGGTAACTCACAGCGAGTATCCTGCTGCCTCTGTGAGTTCACAAAGTGTCGCAGGCACAATGCTGACACGACAACTCTTTTCTTTCTCCATTCCTGATAATACTGTTGGGCTTTCTTTTCTGTCTGCGTGTGAGTCAACCCAACCTGATAATGCAACTTCCCATCAACACACGTAACCTCTGTCCACTACACACTCATCGGCTACTTTCTCCTGAAGCTAAAGCTTAGAAGAAAAAAAAAGAAATACAGAAGGGAGACTGTGGGGGTTGTGGCATAGAGGAGTGTTATGGGTTTGGCAGTGAATTACACGTCTGTTATCTGGACCATGCAGTCGACATTGAGGTGTTAATAGAGAGCCGAACGGTGTTCTAAATCAGACATTGGCTCTTTATTAATGCACTCTCTGAAAAAAAGCAAACGTCCATTTCCTTTAATAGCTTTTGATGTTTATTATAGCAGTTAATGCGGACATGTGAACACACGCTTTATTGCATTGGCTCACCTTGTCCCTGAACACTTCTGGGTTGCTGTACATGAAGTCCCGGTAGCTCTCTGTTCGCACCGTGTCCTGTGAAATGAATGTTTGAAATAAAAGGATCAATGCGGAATACCATGCTGAGTTAAAGTTGGTCGATAAGTGTGCCGAAAAGTGACAGAATAACAAAGAATATAAACTACATATATGTAGTTATTGTGGTTACTTCAAACAAAGGGGAGAATTGAAATATAAACCCAGAGAAAAGTCAGGAAGGAGGAAGGGAAATGAATCCTTAATATCTAAATAGTTTTTATAATCTTTATTCTCCATACTTTTCAGTCTAATAAAAAAACTGATATATGTACTTTCTTAAAAAGCTGATTGTGTTCATAAAACTGGAGGCTCAATAGCCAAGGTGAACAAATTCAAGGCAAAATAACAATATTTAGGATGTGATTAATACAGAAATCTGTTATGTAGGACTTTTTGAATGAGGAGTAACTTATAAGACCTTTTTTATAAAAACACATCTGTCTTGCTCATAACTTTTTCATTAAAAACTGTGCATCAAAATTTACAATATTTCATTTATTTTAGAGAAATTTCCCATCAATAGTTTAGCTCAGTATAAACTGCATCCAATTTATATTTCACCATCAGTGCAAAAATCCAATCAATTGTTAAAGAAAAAAGCTGCTTTAAAACACTGTAACACTGGCGGCATCATGGTGACGCTGTTTGACCAGGATGACCATCGTCATCGTGATCCTGGCCCCTCCTCGGGCTCTGATGAAGTTTTCACACTGACGCAGATGAAACGCAAAACTTCACAGTGCTAAGCACCAATCAGGGACTGAACAGGTTTATGTCCAAGCGTTGCAGTGGGTTGGAAAAACGCAGCAGTAACAGACACACCCCCCGGCCCTGAGTGTGTGCTGACACTTTAAGGTTTCAGCTCTTTAATGTGGGCGGAAATTAATTTTCTTGTTCTGTACAGAGAGCAACGTCTCACATGGGCACTTCGCTCTCATTGCTGATTTGTCACTTTTGAAAGGATGTCCTGCGTAAAGTATAAATTTGTGCAGAAAGCTGATAGTTTTCATTTGCATGCAACATTGAGATCTTCCAACCAAGTTGCAAACTGATGAGCCCAGACTCACTTTAAAGACTTATTTGCTTATGAGCATTGCTTTACAACATTGTTCAGTGACCGTGCGTTTGCGAAGCACAAACCTTCAGCATTTCTTCGTGGATGCCATAATGGCCGTAAGAGCTGAAGTAGGCTTCATCCTCATCCTCCCTCAGCTCAGCAACAGCACCCAGGTTGCTTGATTTGCTGGTTTCTGCGTTCAACACCAAACCCTGAGCAAGGAGCCTAAAACAAAGGCAAACAGACCGGCAATTAACTTCTAATACTTGGACCTGAGACAAAAGCAGTGACCAGAGAAGAGGACATTTACACAGGACATAGCAGTAAATGAAGGAGATAGGAGGCATTTATCTTTCTAACTCTCATCCACACCCCCTGTAATTCCCCCTCTTCTTTCAGGTTCTTTGCTGCAGTGGAATTTTCCCCACTCTCCTATTTAAGCTCTCCTCTCTTCCCTTCAAACTTCTTACAAAGTGAATTCAGGTTTAAGTTAATGCAGAGGTCACTGTGTCCCCCTACTGGCCAAAAAAGGGTAACACAGAAGGAGTACATCACCTACACTTGCAAAGCAAGTTCTGGAAAAACATTTAATAAAAAACAGCAGATTTTCCAATAAAAAAAACAACAGAAATAAGATTTTTTTTTTTTTAATCACTGACTTTAGTTTGTGGAGATCCTCCATGGCTCTGGTCAGTGCTTCTTCTGAACGTTTGGCTCTTGCTTCAGCTGCCTGGGCTCTGCAGAGCAGTTCGTCACTGGGCTGGGTCCTGGGTGATGGAGACATGTCATCCTTTTCACACAGCTCCTCCAGGTCTGGAAACAACAGAAGCATGAGCAAAGAAAGCATACCAGGTGATGACGTGCATTTATATCAAGTTATATAAGGACTATCTCTGTTTTTGCTGTAATGATAATATTTTTAATCTTTGATCTCAACATGGTTGTCATTCTACTTGAGGGAACAGGAGGGTGTGTAAGGATGAAGCAGTTCAGACTGGAAGGTGGAGGCAACTAAGAACTTTGAAAGCAAATAAAAGCTTTTAAAAGAATCCTAAGTTGCAAGAGGAGATCATTCAATTGAGCTCAACTTTTGTGTTTGAGTTAAAACACATGCAGCAGTTTTCTGCATCCTCTGAGGAGATACAGGAATCACCATTTCCTTTATAACAGGGCATCACAGTAATACAGCTGAATGGAAACAAATATGTTATTTACCTACACTTACTTATCAAGTGTGTCATATTCCAGTTCTATAAAGCCTGGAGGTGCCTTCAGAGTAAACTGTAAACTTAGACTATGACTAAAGTCTGAGCTCATTTAAGACTTTTAGAGTCCTAAAATCAAGTTGATTAAATGTAAGCCTTTTAAGGTTCTCCAGAAAGCCGAACGCGGATCTTCAATCAGTTTTCAATCACAGGATTAAGAAACATAAACGAAACAAATAAAATCCAATGTTTTATTAGCTGGTTCTTGGTTAGAGATGGGGGCTTAGACCCTGAGAAGGCTGCATGTTATTTGGTTTAAATCCTACAAACTGCTGCTTTGGGTCCCTGAGCAGGACCAGAGGAATGTTGCTACAGATGCAGCCCACTGCTCCATAAAGGATGGGTTAAATGAAACTGACAACTTTGATTCAGATGTCTATAGTTGCAATAACAAAAAAGGTTGATTATCATTATTAAATAACAAATCACAACCCTTAAACTGTATTTTTAAACTTCACAAGCCCTTAATTATACCAGCCTATAATTTCCTTTGGTTCACTAAACACTAGGGCTGGGTAAAAAAAAAAAAAAAAGGATTTTGAATCGATTCCTTTACATTTTTGCAAAATCAATGTCTAGGGAATGACATCGATTAGTTTTATAGTGACCCGCGTGACGTTCACATACAAATGAGCAGGAAAGATGCACTTAAGAGTACTTCAAGCCAGACAGCTTACAGACATTAACAAATGGAGGCTGACCAGCAAACACACAAACAACACTGCAAATATGGTTTGTGCAGGAAGATAATGCAGCTCATGCATGTCTGCTGTGTCCCCGCTGTGTCACGTTTGCTTGCTCGAGTGAGGCTTCACTTTTTAACTTTTCACAAACAAGTTTGCACTTTTAAGACAGTTTTGTTCACACCTCAAGTTTAAACTGTCCGATTTACAAGTTTGCACTTTGTGTTTAATTTGACATAAAAAAATAAAATACATGAGTATTTTGAAACACAGTTGAATCACTTTCATTATTGTAAAAACAGATCAAATTGAAATTAATCGATTTAGAACTGTATGAATCAAAATCGAATCGTTTCAGGACTTTGACGAAAATACCGAGCCCTACTAAACACCTCCTGGATTTCTCAACACTGTATGTGGCATCACTGTTAAATTGCTAAAAGTAGCTCAAATACTTCTGTAACTGTAGATTTGTTAATGTCAGAGATAGATTAGTGCTCAGGGATGATCAGAGACACCGTATTATTCTGATGTAGTACCTGTCTGGAGCAGCGGGTCATCCTGAAGGACTGGTCTCAGGAAGTCTTCCTTGTTCCAGGGTAAGGGGCCTTCTGACAGCTCCATTAGCGAGGATGGAGCACATTTCTGAAGATGCAAATCAAAATGTTAGAGGTTCCTCCCTATCTTAGTGCTTTTCATGCTTACAAAAGGTTTGCTTGATATGTTCAAAGAATTCTGGTAAATTCTGCCACTGAATAACAGAGAGAACTTACCGTTGAGCGGATGAAATTTATCATTTTTATGTAACCGTAGTCATCTAAACCTAAAGAAATATGAAGCGTGAATGATCCAAACAGAACAAAATCATCGGACTGGTCGATCTGCAAAGATCTTTGGCTCTGTGTGTACTTACGGTGCTTTTTTATTACGTTTACAAGGCTGAGCTGGTGTTCAGCCGTGCAGTGCTGAAGGGTTGCAGAAACAGAATCCAACAACCTAAACAAAAGTGAAAAGGAAGAAAGACCATTTTAAATATGAAGTCTAAAGCAAATAAAAAAACAGTACAATAAAACACAGGTTCAAGGTCCTATAGATGAGACTAACATATTTCATATAAGTCACCATGGAAACCACATCCCCCATTAGAATTTGTTTGCCTAAAATATTAAACTCAGGTTAAGAGATGAAATTGTGAAAAGATATTATTAACCAGGAAAAAGATACACAACAGATCGCCAAAGTATTCAATTACAGGCTAAGTCTCTGCTAATAAAGCAAAATTATTAACTAATGATTAAACCAAGGTTTATATTATATACAATGAGGTTTATTTATTTCTTCAAGCTCAACTACAATAATATGGAGGACCAACTCTGCCATATTTCAAAATAAATAAATAAATAAATAGATAAATGCTCAATAAATAAAAAAGCCTACAATTAATTGCCCAAATATTACAATAGACTAATAAATGTAGGTAGAAATTAAATTATACAGGGAGACATAAATGTATATATCTCTTTTAATTAGCTTCTTTGTTTTTTTTGCCTTTGTAATAATGACCTCATCTATTTATTGTCCATTATAATCTTTTGTAAGTATTTATGTATGTGCATGTGATAATATTTTGAGCCCTTAAGACACACCCCTTCCTTATTTACATAATGAGGCAGAAATGCATACAGAAATGTAAATACGACAGGCAGAAATAAGAAATATATACGGTAAAAAAATACAAAGGAAGAATAAACAGACAAAAATATTATCAGATGCACATAAAGAAATGCTTAAAAAAAAGTGATAAATAAATAAAGTTGAAGATTATAATGGCCAATAAATAAATAAGGTAATTATTACAAAGGAGAAAAAACAAAGAAGCTAATTAAAAGAGATTCATCGATTTATCTCTCACTGTATAATTTAATTTGTACTTACATTTATTAGTTTATTGTATTTTTAGGGGCAATTAATTGTATGCTTATTTATTTTATTGAGCATTTATCTATTTCTACTACTGAATGTTCCATAGTTCCCATGAAATAAAAACATCACAAATAATTCTGTTTATGTTCTTGATTTAGGCTAATTTCCTTCAAAGTTAACTTTTAACGCATTATTGCAATTCAAGTAATACATTAACCAAGTAGGTAAAAACTGGAGAATACTATAAATGACAGAAAACAATTAAATATTTAAGATATTGTCTCACTTGTGGCAGAATAAGCAGGTAACTGTTTGCCTCTCCTCCTCCATCCACTGCTCATCATCATCATCTTCATCTCCATCAGAGAGCTCAGGCATCTCTTCAATATCTGTTTGAGTAAAAATTCATAACAGCTTTAAAGACACAACAATGACCAACACAGCTAACAATTCAAACAGTGTAGCCCTGCTGCAGCACCGATACAGCCCACAGCTCAGCAAACTGCTGCTAAAGCACGTTGTTACTCCACTGAGCGCAGGAGTAACATTTGTTTATAAATAAAGAATAAAAATGTGTTTTGTTTTTTTCAAAATGAAACTGTTTAAGATGTTTTGTTGTTCTGTGTAGTAGACTCACGTGTGTCTGTGCTGTCTGCCATGATGCTGCTGGCTTTAGGAATAGAGGACTTCCTGGTGACGTATGGTGACGTTCCACATTGAAACTCCAAGCTGTAGTTCACGTTTTCAACCACCAGATGTCACCAAATGTCCATTACAAAGCGAGTGAGAAGAGAAGGTTCTTCAGTTTTTCCACAGATTAGGTACTTCACATATATAACCGGTAGGTAACCTTTAATGAATATCTGTGAAACCCGAAAACATTTTTTTTACTTTTATAACAAAGAAAAGTAAACTGATAAAAAAAAAGTTCCAAACAATAAAAAAAGAAATGAATAAATACATAAGACAGATTCAGAGGAAGAATTGAAATTACTATACAGCAGAGGTCTTTACCTTAGCAAAAAGTAGTTTATTCAAGTATACTAAAAGTGCACTAATTTCATACTTAAAATCAGGCAGTGCACTTAGAGTTTACTTATTTTAAACTATATTTCATATACTTAACAAAAGTATAGTCAAGTGTTCTTGACTTACACTGAGAAGTATATAAAGTGTTTACTAAAGTATACTTTAAGTATACTTTAGTAATACTAAAAATCTCCGAATTTAGTATACTTCAAGTATACTACTTTTTGCCAAGCAACAGGGGGTCCGCAGAGGTAACTCATGGGGGTCGAGAAAGTTTTGGTTGATTACAAATGTCTTTTTTTTTTTTTTATTCCCCCCCTCTAATTTTTTCACTAATTGAAATGTCTTTAAATACACATTAACATGAATTCAACACACTGTAGTGAACAGATAAATAGAGGCAGAAGATGTTTTTCAGTTGTCACTGCACACATTCATCGACACACAGGAGCTCTTTCAAGCTGGACACCGTTTCATTCACAACACCTGTCCCATCAAACAGGAATCAGAATCAGAAATACTTGGTGGTCCATTTGGATAGGCTGGATACCCTGACTTTGTTTCGTCCACATTGCCTTCTTTCTCTCTCTGAATTAAATTGTTTCATCTTCACCACTTATAGCAGCATCTTTTTCCCAGTCTTCACTCATTACTTCAACTGTTGTACTTTCAGTGGCCTAACCTCACTCATAACCCCCCTAGTCCCTCCATCATCATTCTTTCTTTAAATCTCAATCTTCTCATCTCTCATTTTAATGCCAAAGAAACTAAAAATGGCTCCACTTTTAAATTTTATTGCCATTGTGATCTGCAACGTGCAAGCATTCAAATTTGTGAAAAAACACCCTACTTATTACAGCAGCCTTTCACAACACGGAACCAGAAATTGGCAATGTCAACTTTATTTCTATAGCACATTTAAAAACAGCTACATCTGCCCAAAGTGCTGTATAAACAAACATTATAAAATGCAACAAATGAGTAAAAAGATAATTACAAGTTACACAAACATTAAAAAAAGAAGATAATTATACTAATACAAATAATAAAAATAATTGTGGAGCTTGTGTTAAAGGCCAGAGCAAATAGTTGAGTTTTCAACAACGAAGTAAAAAAAGACTGGGCGATTTTAACATTTAAGGGAAGGATTTTCCAGAGTCTACTCTGGTTTTCGCAACCTCCAGAGTCCAAATTATTTATCAGATTTACATACGATCATACAATCAGCTATAAGAAACAGATTAACTATGACACTTGGAAAATGGCAAATAAAGCAACAATGCGAGTGCTCTAAAAGAAGTAGTATGCCAGTAAAACAGGAACCTGATTTTATATATTACTCATTCAATTCAATTTAATTTATTCCACAGGGAAATTAAATGAAATGACTAAAGTCACTTATCTGTTTTGTAACCTTTTTTTTGGACTACGTCACATACTTCAAACTGACACAACTGATTAAAGTAGCTGTGATATGTCTGACAAAAAAGCCTTTTATTGTAAAGATTCTTTTTTTATTTCAAATCCAAATATAATTTATTTTTTATCGATCTTATGCCACATGCATATGTACAATAGGTGGTAATAACCTTCTGTTTGTAACCAAAGACAAAAAAGCAGAGCTCTACATTCCAGTTTTCCATTTCAATTTTAGAGGGGCGCTCGATAAATAATGCCCCTGGCCCACTTCCCGAAGTTTGATTGAGCTGAAATTTTGCATATGAAGTATTTTAAATCTCTATAGATTAAATAGCAAATTACAGCTCTGAACTAATTGTGGTTTCTGTTTTGCTGGTGTTAAAACTGAGTCAAGTCTGAGTATTTGCATTTGAAAGGATGCACATAATGGGAGACTTTTGATCAAATGGAAGTAACTTATAGTGATAATGCCCCATAATATAACCTTGTAAAACATTTTGCAGGGTCATATAATGGACATCATCACCATAAGTTACTTTAATTTCATCAAAAGTCTCTGGTGGAGTGAGTCCAATAGAAAAACCGGATCACTGCTCAAAACTCAACAGGCTCCATTTCTTTCTTTTTTTCTTTACTCAGTTCAAACGCCTGTAAGTCGGAAACCACAAATAGTTCAGAGCTGTAATTTGCTACTTAATTTATAGAGATTTAAATAACGGCAGATGAAAAATTTCAGCTCGATCAAACATCTGAAGTGGGTCAGGGGCATTACTTATTGATAGCCCCTCGTAACTCTAGGTGCTGCTGCTTTTACAGATTTAAATCGATGTGCTGGATTAGTTCTCCTCAACATATTGCATTTTGATAAAAAAAAAAAATCAATATTACATTCAAGCGATCAGAGAACCCTCTTCCACATATTTGCTGTCACCAATATGGCTTTTGTTAATCACTAGGAAACATCTAAAGGAAATTGGTTAAACTCAAAAAAGAGGGATGAATATTTTTTGACACTACATTTTTTTTACTTTTTATTTGTAATTTTTTCTATTCGTTGTGTTTTCTTTTACATAAGATTACAAGGAGTTCAAGGGGTGTGAATACTTTTGCAATCCACTGTGGCTCACAGCAGACATGAGTCAAAGTTAAGTCACTGGTTTCAGTGCCTTCACACTGTTGATCAGCTGCCTCGTCCTTTTTGTGTCTGCTGGGATGCATCTAGACATATTTAATGCAAAGTGATTTTTTGGATATTGAGTGGTGTCAAGAATACAAATTTAATTCACTGTCAAATAACACATATTAACCTGGTCAGCAATCCTTTGCTTTGCTTTACTCTTTTGCAGCAGCAACTTGTAAAAGGTTTTGATTTCCTCAAGTTGGTTTCAAAATGATTTTTATTTTATTTGGTGAGAAAAACAGTTTGAGGTTTATTCACCCCCCTGTCAGAGTGAATTGTGTTATCTGCATTGCAGTGATGATGCTTATCTCATGTTTAGATGGAGGCTGAGTTAAGTGACCTGGGCGGATTCTGAGCAAATTATAGTTCCAAGCTCCTTTTCCTTTGCCTTTTCTGGGGTCAACAGTAAGAAAACAATCATGGGTAGGAAATGAATTCAGGACTAATATGCTGAATCTGGACAACCTTCAGTCATTAAATGACAGAAACACACATGGATGATTCTAGACCAATTGGGACAATAGCCTCCCTAAGAAGAACCACAAAAAGCTGAAGTACACAAATGTAGATTAAGGGTAATGCTCCCTTTTTTAAACCCCAAAAGTATGAAGTTGTATACATTTGTACATGTCTCACACAGAGTAAACATGAAGAAATAAAGCATTTACTTAATATGTAAAATTCTGCAAGGTGATCAGTGAATATACTGTATGTCCTATCACGCAAAGGAATTTGGGAATCTGTATAGCTTCTATGAGCTTTATAGGAACCAGGAATAAGTTCTTTATAGGGATGCACGATATTGGGATTTTGGCCGATATCCGATATGCCGATATTTTAAAACTCGTGTAGCCGATAACCGATATCGATACCGTTGTTAAAGCTGGACAAAAATAAGTAGTCATTGAAAATAGCAGTTTTATTATCCATTTCTGACACTTTGAAAAATAATATACTCAAATATATTTTCATATGCTGATATCAAATTGATTTTTAAAAACGCGGTATCGATCTATTTTACTTTCAAAATCTCATGAAATTTCATCGTTCTGTTTCAAACTCTCATGATATTTTGCAAATTCTTGTGAGATTTTGTTAGTAAAATAGATTGATACCGCATCAATATATCAACATATAAAAATATGGCAAAATTTCGTGAATTTTCGGGGGATTTCGTAGCATAACGATGACATATAGCAATATTTCATTAGTAAAAGAGATTGATATTGTGTTTTTAAATGGCAATATATCAGCATATGAAGATATTGTGATATTTTAATATATCAATATTTGTTCCCTCGTCTTTAGAAGTTTTTAAGTCTGTAAACAAGAAGTTTTTGAGGAAGAAGTAGTATTTTTTTTTAGACTTTAGAAACTCAGAAGCTGATCAAATATCGGGTTCAATATCGGTGGGGTGGCTGATGTCCGATATTCAGTTTTGAGGTCGATACAGGCCGATACCGATAGGGGGGCGATTATATCGTGCATCCCTAGTTCTTTACCTTAATTTTCTCTTACATGTATGAATTCAAGCACAAATATGTTGTCTCCCAGAAACGTGCATCACAATATAAGCCCCGTGTGTCTTTACTTTATTAACAAAGCAACACAGGAATCTAAAGGGATTGTTTTAATGTTGTGTTGCGACTAACATAAGAGGCACGTACCCTGCTTGTTTTATATGAGAGAGAGATGAGTAGATCTTTAGCTTATCCTTCTTAATTGCTGCATGATGACTATGAAAGTAACCACAATTATTTACTTGTGCAGTCTGAAAAAAATGTTTTGCTGAGCTCACTTTAATACGTTATGTATGATTTTGCATTGTTTATGGCTTAAAAAAAACAAAAATGTATGATAAACATATGAGGCAATATATCTAGAGTTGTGTGGACATTGTATGACCAGGCCATTTTATGTAGATGGCTAATATCTGTTCATTGTCAGAAACCTAAATGTTGACCTACAAAAAAAATGATATAATGTTCTGTTTCAGTTATCTATGCTTTGAAAATCTAATGCAAAAAGTATTTGTTTTCCCTTATTGTGCATTTTGAACATCCCAAAATAGAAAAAAAATAAAGATTAAAAGATCTAAATGCATCTACTGAGTTCGGGCTTGTTTTACACAGTGTACAACTTTAATCAGTCACAAGAGGGCGTTGTTGTGTCATGAGAAAAACAACCAGAGAACTTCATGTAGTTTTATAATGAATCAACAGAAAAAAAAGGCAGAAAATGGTAAAGATGAAAAAATTAGATTGCTCTACTTAATGTTATGTGTGTATTTTCTAAAACACACCAACCACTTACATTATATAATCATTATCATTTAACGCAGGTTGATAAACTATATTCACTTTGTATTACATTTAATTATTTTTGTTGTTTATCAAACTGGGTTGGATAGTAGGACTTCCATTTATCTTCACAAACCTGCAAAAAAACTGTATCAAACATTTGTAACATTAGTTTCCATCCATCCATTTTCCGCCACGCTTATCCCAAGCAGGGTCGCGAGGGATGCTGGTGCCCACTGTATACTGTACAGGCGAGAGGTGGAGTGCACCCTGCACAGGTCGCCAGTCCATCACAGGTAACATTAGTTTATTAATGCCAATTAGAGATAAATGCTAAATGAGCTAAAAAGCACATATTTAATAATCACAAATACAACCAATAGTAAATTGCAGGTAAAAAAAACAGACACATATCTGACTGTACGTTAGAAGATATTTAATTATCTTTTTCTTTACATACAAATGTGCAATATTTAATCGTGATGTTTAACTTCACATCTAAGTACATCCTGTTTAGAACACATATGCACTCCATGTAAGGCAGTAATTTAGTTTATCAGAGCAAAACTGAAGGCCAACAAACTTGGTGTTTCCCCTTAAACAACAACTTTACGTTACTTTACGTTACTAACGTTACTTTAAAATCAACTTCATCAATAAATTGCCTAACTGCATTAAAAATTCTTTGGAATAGGCAATAAATAAAGTCTGTTCTCAAGTATTTCAAAAGTTCCTTAATGAGGCTTGCAGAATGTGGTCATCTCTGTAGAACAGCAAAGATCTGGAAATAAATGGAAATTTGTTCTATTAAGTTACAGTTTCAAACAGAACATCTTTGTTACATATTTCTCAAGTAACATTACTTATCATTAAAGAGAATCCAAAATAATGTTGCATAACAGTGTTGTTCAATAAAAATAATTAACCTTATATGCTTCTACGTTTCTTAGAAAATAGTATAAAATGAAGCTAAACAGCAAATTGTTCATACCTCCAACAGATTTATATCAACAGAAATTCTATTTAACTAATTTATTTGATCTGACAGGAAGTAAAATGAACATTTTAGAGGGCATAAGACAGTGTAACATTTGGAGTTCAACACAAAAAGCTGATGATCAAATTCCACTGCAAAGAAAAAAAAAAAACTTAGGCATTTTTAAAAAAAAAAAAACACAATTTAATTTCTTTAATTTCTTTGTGCGATTTAATCTCTTCTTTAATTTAAATAGAGAAGAATTGTTGTTTTTTGTTCTTTTAACCTGACCCTTGTACATTGTCAAATTATTAGTGGATATTTGTTTAACATCCAGAAACAGACTTAAATCATTTTTAATCTGCCAAGGATGTTATCTAGTACATATCTATTTTTCTGGGGCATCTCACATGTTTTGGTTGTTAATTGTAGCATCGGCTGGTTTCATTTCAAGACATATTGCTCATATATGGTTAAAAAGGTCAAATAAATGAAATTATAGTTTTTAAAGCCATTTTACCTTCTTCAATCACTGATTTGCCTTAGTGTTTCCTAGCTTGGCCATATCCTTGTTCTCCAGGATCTCTGTCTTCTGCTCAGGTTGAAGCAGCGTGTTGGACACCATTGCTTTTGCCACCGCTTGGATTGGGATTGACAAGGAGGAGGAACCCACGGCAGAGATGGCACCAAAGAACTTCCTGGCGAGCCACTCTCCCGGTCGGCTCTCCTTTCTGTCCACTAACAGAACCCTGGTTAAAGGAAAACGGTTCCCATATGAGATGGTTTTGAATTTGATCTGGTTATACTGCAGACAGCTATTATTAGCAGAGCTAGTTTAGTTTTCAGCACATTATAAATGAAAAAGGAGTCAATTTTTAAAGGGAAGCAGAACCACTGGATTTTCTTTCTGTTTATGTATTTAAAACAGCAGCATGCAGCATCTGGGCATTCACCGAAAAGTCAACAAGTGGGCTTAATTAAGTTGAGTCGACTCACATCTGAGTCAGAGTTAGCGCAGGGTGTGTGGACCTGCGTCGAGTTGTGCATGTTACATGCAACACAGGTCTAGCTCATTGTATGTATTCTATTCTATTTATTAGGTTATTTCTAGTAGAGCAAACTCTGGAGTTAGCAATAAAATCTGGATTAGACCTATGCAATATAACCAGGACCGACACTGCAGCAAGACAACAATAGAACAAAGGATCGACTCGACTTCGACTTTTACCATCAAATAGTCGACTAGGAAAAATCCCAGGTGGTTAACGCCCAAGCACACACTACATGTACGTATTTTTATGATCTCACTCCCACTGCTGGTCGGTCTAGGTATCTATGAGAAAGTTTGCACATTCAGTTGCTGCAGATTTATTTCTGTTTTTTTTTTTTTACTGGGCCAAACAGCATCATGCAGGTGGATTGTTTGGGGTTGTATCAATACGTAAAGACGTTCGTCTGAAACACATCAGATATGTTGATATACGTTGGAGAAAAGTTCTTGATAAGTTACGTATAAGTTATGCACAACTTACAGGTTTTGGATAAGCTGGACACCACGACTTACGAGTAACTTACACTTAACGTATGTCAACGATCAGAAAATTTACCTGTAACTTATGATCCACGTATGCGCATACGCTGGCACACGTCGGGAAATTTTGAGCATTCTCAGAATTTCTTGCCGTACATGCCGTATGTCAGCGTACTCATAACTTGTACAAAACGTACCCACAACTTATGCAATGTATGCCAGCGTGTTTGCAAGATTTTTCGTGCGTAAAGCATACGCTGTCTAAATCGTCAAGGTGTAACTTTCAGTTTTGGTAAATTTGGGCTTCCCCACAGTGGATAAAAGCTGTATTGTTTTGCTTGGTTGAGGACAGCATTTCCCACGAGGAGCAGCGTGGTAAAATCCTGATCTCCCGGTCGCCTGCAGTTGGATTAAACTGCACTTCTGTTTCCAGTGGCTGTATGAAAGGCGAACAGTGATACTTTGGTATTCCTGCACCACCACTGCCGCTGCCACCAATCCGCCCCCACTCGCCCCACCAACTCATCAGCGACTGATGTGCTGACGAGTTTAGAACCTTGAAACATATAAATATACTGTTATATTTTATGATTTCACAGTAAACACACGTATAGATCTCAGCAGGAAGGTAACTTCCATCTTTATAACAAATGGGGAAAGGGGCAAGTGACATATGCCGTAAAGCAGTCTGCACATTTCTAGTTGCTTTGTCCACCACCCCTCTCGAAGTTGCTTAGTGTGGGTGAAAGCAACACAAATCCCTCGAGCAACGACAGAGGTGTCATTCAACTAGTTTTAAGTTGACATATAATCATAGAAGTTATGAAAATATCTAATGTGACATTCTCTCTCCTTGCTTTCTCAATGCTGGGATGGGAACACATTCACACTGCAAACGAACAACTCCAGGGTTCAAAGAAATTGTTCCTGGAGTCCATTACTGGTTTCCATGCACTGGATTGCATTCACATCAGTGTGAACCACACAATAAGCCAGACTCTGGAACAGTGGGAATTGTCCAATGGTTTTAGAGTAAAAAATGGCTTATTGTTGCCTTCAAAACCTCTTCAATACATTATAAGAGGAGACTTCTTTCAAAGGCTGTGCCAATAGCTTAAGTTATATGTTTCTATAATACTAAATTGAATATTTCTTTTTCTTTATAATGTAATTTTGTCTGTAACTCTAACATATAGGATTACTTACCCTGGTCTGTAAATCGCTAATCTATCAAAACCAAGAGCCTCAATAGCAGCTTCCACTTGGCCCTGAAAGAAAAACACCCAAAAGAGTACATGTTTCACAAATCCTTTAATCATTATCTGTAAGGAACATGTTCAGTAAAAGAGAGGAATGGATGCTTAAATGGATTCTTAAAGGATTTCTGCCAATTTTTTAAAAGACCTGCCCTCTCCACTTAAAAAAAAATGTACATGCACAACCCTGTACCCGCTCCCGAGAGGGAACGCCTGGTAAACGCGTGCAAGAGCGTGCACAAGCCCATTTCTCCTCGTGCTCGCTCTGTTTAAAAGTTGCTGTTCTCATAACATCTGCCCTAGCTCCTAAATCCTTAAATCACTATAGAGCGCAGGGAATATATAGTGGACTTAATGATCATTGCTTTTTTTACTCCCCATTGGCCACTGTGCGGTACCTGCACCATTTTTGTTATTAGTCACCGCTGTCAGGTAGAGACAGTGGGCCGCTGTGACAGCAAATCCCATAATGCTTTGCGAGGAGAGCTCAAATCATGCCGGGAAATACCTGCCTCTTCTGAGGCCTTTGTTTTCTTCTTATACACTTCGTAGCTTTTTATACACTTTTCAAAGAACCACGGTGAGAAAGGTGAGCTTCAGTGACTGTCTGAAACCGTAGCTCCACACAAATATACGCACATATATGAAATGTGCACATGCAGAAAAAGATAGCTATTTGGGGACAAGCATGTAGGATGGCCTTATGTTATCATATCACCAGAATGATTGACAATTATGAGGACCACTTAGTTTGATGATTCACCTGTAAAAAGCACCTCCTCCACTATACCGTTAATGTAGCACAAAGGAATAACAGACCTTGACTTTGAGGTAAAGGAAGCTACTCTTTTTATCAGCTCCTCTGGAGGACTCCAGGTGAAACTGTGTGCAGCCTCCAGCCTTAGCAAGTTCAGCAGATTTTAGAACGTAGTCATGATCAACTCTGATGAATCCATCCTAAAAAAAAAAACAGGGATAATAACACTGAAAATGATACTTTTATACCTTTTAAAATATGGCATTAATATTAACCAACTCTGTTGCAGAAATGCATAATTGGTTAAAGTTGCAATTTTGATTTTAATAATAATATAAGTGATTCATATTTCTTTATTTATAGAAACATGAATCTCAGTTAACCTTTACTATATCTATTGCTGAATTCTAAGCCTACTAAAAAACAATTGATTTATCAAAAACAGTGACTGACCTGTTTCTACAGGATGGGCGACTATCATTTAAATCTGAACTCTGTAATCTCTTCCAAACGGATTCATACTGCTTTTATGGTTGCCACCAACGTTAATATATGTGGTTTAAATTGTATTTTTTGTGTGAGTGTGTTTTTGTAATGTTTACAAATAAAAATCAGAGAGATATAGCCTTATTTTATTAGATGTCCATAAATACTATCAGAAAAATAAACAGAAATAGAAATAGAAAAGTTTATTCTGAGAGTTTTTAAAGGAATTTTGCCAGCTATAAATGTAGTACATAGAATTGTTTAATCTGTTTAGTAGAAGTAATAAAGGTAACATTCACTATGCACTGATATATGTTAGCCAATTAGTCAGATTTTCAATTTTTTTCAATCTTCCCACAAGGCAAAACAGAAAATATGTAAAAAGATGCTCAACTCAGGTCAAACCCACACGGAAATGAAAATGCTTTGTGTGGCAACAATGTTAACAGTGGATATAACCCTGAAGCAACAGTGAAACATGGAAGTATCAGCATTATGCTGAGGGGAAGCTGTCATTCAGCAATCATAAAACAGCTGATCAGCGCTGATTGGCACAGAAATAACTGGAATCTGACAAAATTAATAAATCGAAACAAGGTAAAATGTATTTTAAAGTATGCATTGATTTGTCTTTTCAACCAGAAACTTTAATGTATGTTACTGTCAGAGATTGCTTGTCAATCTTACTTCAACAAAATTATTAATATAGATACATAGACAGAGACAATTAGATAGGTTCACGTGTTAAGGAGTTGCTTATCCCAAGCCCTTGATCAATGCTAGTACCGGTAAATCATTTTTTTTTATGTAGGATGTGATGTAGAGAAAAGGTCAATCTACCATAAAACGATAACTAGGCAACAGGAAATATTGCTTGGTCACGGCCCCTATTAACAAACACACTAGATAAGAACAAGGCGGTGAAAGGTAAAAAAAAGAAAAATGCATGAAAATCCTGATGAATAAACAGCTGTAGCTCTAGTTTAAAGTATATTTACTTACCACGCCTGATTTTGCCCTGGTTGTTCCCAGACAGCAGTAGCCAACATCATGGTCCTTGAAGGCAGCAGCAAAGTCATCAAGCTTTTCAAAGTCAACTACCTCCTGCACCTGCATGAATAGAGAAAGACATCTCAGAACAGAAAATAATGTGTTATATGCTGTATAAGCTGCACCCAGAAACCAACACTAACCAGGTTTTCATACTCTTTCCCTTCAAAGGTCAGTTGCCTTCTCCCAATGAGAGTTATTTTGGAGAAAATGTTTCTCTCCAGCAGTTCTTGAAGTAAGACCTTCCCAGTTTCCCCTGACGCACCCAGGATAAAGCAGCTCTTGTTCTGACTCCTGAAGTTTTCTTTCAGGGTCTCCATGTTCTCATCCATGCTGTTGAGAGGGACACACATACGGCAGAAGAGTTGGTGGAATAAATTTGTAAAGGACAGGTAACAGAATGGCAAACAAATGGATATTTAAACATATCATGAAGTGCAAACCTACACTATCTTTGTGAGCATAATTTTTAAGATTTACAAAGAAAATCCTGATAATATGGTTCATTGCAAATCTATATTGTAACACAAGTCTAAATCTAAGGTTTTTGCTCTACTTTTAACTCCTTGCATGAACCAGGCCAAAACTGTATAGGATCCCGAACACAACTTTATCATCATAATTATTCACTTTGCATTATTTTATTAATACTTTATGACACAATTATAAGTTGTTCATGGGGAATTAGTGACATAACATAATTATTGCGTTTTGTTTAGGGATATTGCTTGTCACCTATTGGATCTGTTATCAGTAAGCTCCTCTGGTAAACTGCCCACTCATGGGAAGGTTCACCACTTATGTTTTTTTTTTATTTTGTTAATGATGCCTGTTATTGGGATTTGCTAGAGCCCCCGACGCCTTAGAAATTTATTTGTAGCCTTTCCTGGGCTTTTCTTACATTTCTTTAGACTGGAGCATGAGATCCTTTAACCTTGATAATGTAAGGTTGTTAGGCTCTACTTTGAGTAATTCTGTATTCTACAGATTAGGGAGTGACCAGGCCTGGGTAAGGCTAGTGAATACAGCTAAAATGCATGGTTAATCAGGATCAGTATTTCAAAAGGAGCACCTGGTTCATTTGGACAGCATTGTTTAGTCCAATCAATTAGATCACCAATTGAAAAATGCATTTTTGCAGAACAAAAAATGCTGCCACCTTCAGGCAGCTTCTGTGCCCCTTGCTTTCACTGTCACTGAGATTATATAATCCAGCAAACCCTACGCTCCATTACACGGGAATTTAATCTACTATTTCTATTTGTGAAGAATCCAATAAAAACAGGTCAGCATCTTCACAGTATTTTGTACAACTATTATTTTTATCTCTGGATGTATTATTCTTGAAAAATTCATTGTTTGATGAAAAAGTGATGGCTATAAATCTTCAATTAATAAAATTTTAAATCAGTTTGTCTATTTTTTAAACCACAATATTCTCTGTACCTTTTTTTAACCCTTTCTAGGGCAAGTTACCAGAGGTCTAGAAGCAAAATATCTATATCTAGTCATTCAGCATAGATCCTGCTACATGGCTGTACATCTTATTTTGGCATTTGACCAATTAGATGAGGCCTTGAATGATAAATTACCTACTGTAAATTAAGTTGGAAAAAAAAAAAGTTTACAAGAAAAAGGTAAAACGCTGATTGAAAAGTAAAGTTAAAAGGTTAGTATATTATTTTGATGCAGTAAGCTTTTTTTTTGCTGAATAAAGGGCTATTAGCCCATTTAGGGAATTTAAAATAGACTAAAAAGCATAGGATATTACAAACAATGTTGTTTATTAAAGGTTAATAAAAAAAAGAATAATAATAAAAAAAAATGTAGAAACAGATTTTTGTAGATAATTTTGTGTCTCAACTTTTGGTGAAAGAAGTTACCTTTTAAAGAATGATTTGGCTGTATTATGACAGCTATTCAATGTTCTTGTTAACAAGAGCATTTGTTTCCAAATACGACTATCTGATGTAAATGTTTTGATTTCTTTATAGGTAGAAGAAAAAAATCGCTCTTGCTGTTCTGCTCCATAAACAGCAGCAGCTCAGTATTTATACAGTATGAACAGCTTTTTCTCTTACCTGGTATATCTGCTCGGCGCACTATCGTCGAAACAATAAAAGATTATGGCAATGATGGCAAAAGCTAAGGTTAAAATCCAGGTCGCTTTCCCCCAGGAGGAGCAGAGGAGCGTCATAGCAGAGAATAGAGACTTCCTGGTTGCTCCGTTTCTAAAGGCAGCGCTGTGGCAAGCCATTTTAACATAAATTCGGTTGTACCTCCCTTATCTTGAACGTAAAGGCATTAATACCGAATTTATGTTAAAATAGCTTGCCATATCACAACCGAATTTATGTTAAAACGGCTTGCAATACCCCCTTACATTCAAGATATCTCAAATAGTTTTATAACTAGACGTTTTAGCGATTTAAGATATCTCTCATTATATTTTGACTAGTGAAAATGTAATTTAAGATATCTTGAATTATTATTCTTCCTGATCAGAATGTAAATACAGATATCTTAAATTACCATTCCGGATACTCAAAATGTGGTTTTGACTAATCAAAATTTATTTTAAGATATCTGGAACGTTATTATGAACGGTCAGACGAAACCGAATTTATGTTCAAATGGCTTGCCATACTGGGTCTTCTTCCTGCTTCTAGACAAACGGCGAGAAAAATAAAAATAGTTTAACATCGGATCACATGGGTCATTGAAAAACAATAAAGGAACACGTCTTTCGTTTTTTAATGAAACAATAATATTTCAGGAATGTAAATTACTGTATAGAGGTTTGCTGAAATCATTTACTATGAACTAGGTACTGTAAATGACGCATGCGCACTTCAGAAGCGTAGCCAGAAAATTTGAATAAGGGTGGCCAGGCAACAACCAATGTACACTGAGGGGGGGCCACAAATAGATAGGCTTCAGAACCTCAGGGTCAATCTACTTTGTTCCAACAGGAAAATTAACAATCACAACATTCATAGTTCCTAAATAAAGACAAACTATACTTTCCTACAGTGTTTGCTAACATGGAGATGCATATATTTAAACATCCATGCTGTCTAAATTAAAGGTATAGTGGACAAAATTCTCTCAGTTTAGAGTTCTGGGGCGAACATCTTATTCATTGTCAATACTAACCTACTTTTTTTAATAATCATTCTGCTTTAAATTTATATTTACATGTACAAATATCTATATTAAATTGATTACTTATTCTTAAAGTAGTTATTTATCTCTGATTTCAGTGACGATTCCTAGATGACTTTACCCCGTATAAGACAAAATCTAGTTCTGAAAAGAGTGTGAATTCTGTATTTATCTTTACTATTAGTATATTGATGTGCTTAAAGGAGAAGTTCGGTTTTTAACACTCCGACGTCGAGGTGCTAACGTCTCTGTTAAA